TTCTAAGGAGAGTTCAGTTTGATTGGATTGGGAACCTATTCAAATTCAACTTTCTGGTGGTCCATGGTATCCATGAAACTCTCCCTCAACACCACAAAAATAGTGGGAAAACAATTAAAAAAACTGACAGGGAGGGACCGGCTGCTGTCACCTTGGGATAGCAGCCCTAAAAATACTCTTCATATGTTATTCTGCCTAGGGAAAACTGATGGGATTCAATCACCATTCTGGACAGGATTGAGAGAATATGGTATCTCCATCAGTTCTCCACACTTCACTTCTGATCACTTAAAATAGTAATACTGGGCTGCATACATCCCTGTCCCCTATAGACTAATGTGCACCAGTGCAGCTGACCACACCCCTGAATTTAGAAAGAAAAAAATAAGAAAAACAATTGGCTTTCAAATTCTCCTGTCCTCTGAGGGCATGGGAAAACATTCTGCCATGATTTGAGGAGCCCCCAGAACCCCTAGAGTTCTTAACACACCCCAAAAATACTTCTAATGTTTTTGGCCACTAGCAAGTGGCCCAGTAAATTCCTCCCCCCCCCCCAGGAAATTCATTCCTCATTTTTTGTATTCTTTCTTTTGAAGGGGTTGGGATCATGAGGGAGGACGGGGCTTTCCAAAGACAACTGATGGATATGCGAGGCTTTTGGGTGTCTCGAAATTGTCCATGCCCGGTCTACTAGACTCGAGATCAGAGATCAGGATCACCCATGGGGTTATTTCTAGAAGTTCAAAGCTTTCATGGAGGGGGCTGTGAGTTGGTTTTGGGGGAGAAGAGAGAGAATATGGAAGTGTCCATATACGGACATCAGAGAGGGTCTGGAAAGTTTGTATTCACCGGGTCAAGTCAAGCAGAGGCACTATGGTAGATAAAAACATTTCTTGGCCAGAGAAGCTGTCGTCGTAAGATGCATGCTGCTGCTTTACATTATGCATCCCTGCTTTGCTCAGTTTGTACTTTGGAATTACCACTTAGAACTTGAAAACAACAACTCTTTTATTATTCTGCGAGAACCACTTCAGCGATTCTCCTACTTTTGAAAGCAATAACATTTTTGTTTGTTTTGCTTTATCGCGAAGATTCGCTCTGTGTTCTGATTTGCAGCCCCCAGGCAGAGAATGAGAGAAGTTTTCCCTAATGATCTGGTGACAAGGATTGGATGACATGGTGCTCAGATTCTCTCTAGTGGTCATCAGGTTAAAATTTCGGCAACGTTACTGGAATCTCCTCTAAATCTACACCTAAACTAGTTCCTCCCACATCTGCCTCCATCATTCATATTTTTCCCGATTTCCACACTGCCCATTCCTCAACTGCAGAACAATTTGGTTTCCTTTTCTTCTTCACCATCAGCATTCTAAAACTTGTGAGAATGTGTGTTGAAGGCAATATTTAAACAACCCTATTCTACTTCTTCTACTCCTTTATTGCCAAGACACAGAGATGCTGTTTGAAAACCTTTCAGATACAGCTGTCAACAACTTAAAACAGACCCCCAAAAGTGCAAACTAAAAAGGCAGATCTATACAAACGTGTCAAGAAAGTGAGTTTCCTTCTTGACATTCTAAGTTACTGATGAAATTTTGCAGCAGCCTGTACAGAAGGTGACAGTTTCCATAGAACAGAGCAAAGAAAAGGCTCGACGTTTAGAATGTTCTCTGTCTAATTGGGCTAAGGAAAAAGTCAGTCTCTAAGCCTCATTAGTTACCACAAATAGCAAGTAACCTAGACGGATCGATCTGGTGCTGTGATGACGTTCTCGAATCAAGTAAGGAATGGAAAAGTGGGAGACAGAGAGGAGCTGAGCTTGTAAGAATGACTGGGCCAGTTGATAATAGATGCCGGGCAAGTTGAACATGGGGTCTGATCAAGAAAGGTGATTCTTAGTCTTGTATACTACAAGCAGTTCTCACCTTTATGCACTAAATCTGGAAACGGAGTCATGGCAAATTCCAGATAACCTCACCTTGATGATTGGGAATCTTCACTTTATACACTAAAGCAGAGCAAAAGCAAAGTGTGCTGCTTATATACTTAAATCACTCTCTGGGTGGTTTACAGTTTTATTATGCAGGCTGCACATTGTCCTCACAGCAAGCTGGGAACTCAATTTACTGACCTCGGAAGGACGGAAGGCTGAGTCAACCACTGGCTTTTACAGTTTTATTATGCAGGCTGCACATTGTCTTCACAGCAAGCTGGGAACTCAATTTACCGACCTCGGAAGGACGGAAGTCTGAGTCAACCACTGGCTGGCTACCTGGGATTGAACCCAGCTTGTGAGTAGAGTTTTGGCTGCTGAATGTACTGTGCTACGAGGTTCCACTAAAGTTAGTTCTCAAAATCGGCACATCTATTTTAAAACATGTACAGTTTCCACAAGGCAAGGGCAGCTTCTATCGCAGTAGAGGGTGCCACCCCCAAAATCTCAAGGGGATTGAACCCAGCTTGTGAGTAGAGTTTTGGCTGCAGAATGTACTGTGCTACGAGGTTCACTAAAGTTAGTTCTCAAAAGCGGCACATCTATTTTAAAACATATACAGTTTCCACAAGGCAAGGGTAGCTTGTATCACAGTAGAGGGTGCCACCCCCAAAATATCAGAGTGAGGAGCACCTCCTGGTCCATGGGCCACTCTTGTCTTACCAGCTTGTGAGTAGAGTTTTGGCTGCAGAATGTACTGTGCTACGAGGTTCACTAAAGTTAGTTCTCAAAAGCGGCACATCTATTTTAAAACATATACAGTTTCCACAAGGCAAGGGTAGCTTGTATCACAGTAGAGGGTGCCACCCCCAAAATATCAGAGTGAGGAGCACCTCCTGGTCCATGGGCCACTCTTGTCTTAAGGGACACTTTTATACACTAGAAAAGCGCTTCTCAGCTTTTCTACCCTAGAACAATAAAACTAGGTACCAAATGTGGGGCATGCATTTTTTTTAAATGGATGCATTTTCCACAGAGGACATTTGGAAATCTTTATAAAGCTTTCAAAGAAATCCAGTAAGGCATGAGGTGAAACATTGCTATGAATCATCCTCATTTTGTAAGTGGATCGTTATTGTATTTGTCAGGAAATACTATGTATCACAACCGCACTTTCTAAGCAGCTGCTGGGTAAACGTGGAGACCTAGAATACAACTGGGTAAAAGGCACATGGAACCAGAACGTCATGTTCCACTATAGTAGGACCCTCATAGCTGCGGGAGATTGGTTCCAAGCCCTTCTGTGGATGCTGAAAAATGATGATTATAGCAAACGCGGATTGAATAACAAATGTCATACATAGCATGGTCTCCGGCTCCTTCTAGTGACCAGTTCTGATAACTTCGTTTTTAGATTTATGTATTACTAGGATTATCTTTTTAATATTTACAGACCGTGGATATGTGAATCAGCGGATACTGGTTCCGTGGATAAGGGGTCCTACTGTGTATGGAACTGTTACCAGAAGCAATTTTGTGGTGGAGGCATTCAAAACTTGAGCGGGGGGACACGTTCCTTTTGGACTACAATTCCCAGAATCCCACCGGCCTAGGAGATTCTGAGGAGTGCAATAATCGTGAAAAACAAGCAGGTTTTCCAGATTCTGGTCTTTCTGTTTGATGAGTATCATTTTCAAATGTGCTCAGCAAGTTGGTATCTTTAGCTCCGGTAAAGAGCTACTTACCATCAGCCGTATAATAAATAAATAAATAAATAAAGAGCTACTTACCATCAGCCGTGTGGAGGAGTTTGTGGCTCTTCAAGGTACCCTTGGACTTAAACTTTTTCCCACACATGTCACACAAGTGGGTTTTTTCCGTGCTGTGGCGGTTCATGTGGGCTTTCAGGTTGCTTTTGCTGCGCGTGGCGTATTCGCACACCGAACATTTGAACGGCTTGATGCCTACAGAAAGAGGAACAAACAAGGTTGCACGCAGGTTTGGGAAGCTGGCCCGTCCGTCGCACCCAGTGTTCGGGCAGGAAGAAAACGGTTGCTTCTGTGAAGCCTTTCTTCATCTCCAAACCCCCTTCTGTTTGGTGGAGCTCAATGGCAAGGGGGTGGCGGGGGCGATGGGACTGGATAGAGAAGTAGACCTTTGTAGGGATCTTACTGTATGAACAGGCCTGCTTTCCTTCAATAGTAGCGAGTGCACTGATGAGATGATCTCTAAATCCAATCAATTAATAATTTAACAGGAGGTATTGGTGGGAGGAGTTCTGAGCATGATTACAGCATGCAGGTAAGGGTTAATATCCTTTCCCCTCTCAAGCCGGGATCAGGCTTAGGGGAGTATTAAATTTTAGGAAAACAGGAATCCTGAGTCAAACACCTGGACCATCAAGAGGCTAGCAAGTTTCTGATGCCCAGGACCCGATTTTGCACCTGCAGAACCTACCATGGGCTGAAAATGCTGGGAAAAGTACACACCAGGGAAACAGCTAAAAGTTTACTTTGAGTTTTGTTTAGGGCAAGTTGGTGGGGGCTTGTGCGGCTTTCTGCAAAATCGACCTTCCTGAATCTTTCCTGGAGAGGAAAAAGTGATGTTTCTTTATAGGATCTTATTTTCTCCAAGAGTGGGAGCAGAAATGCCACTGGGCCCACATGCAGTCCGTTGGCCACACCTTGGCCATCCCTGGTTATGCTAAGTGCCATTAGCACTTCTCCAGGATTTCAGGCAGATTCCTCCACAGTTCCACTTAGATGTGCCGGCGATTAAACCTGGTATATTCTGGGTACAAAACATGTGCTCCACCAGGGAGGTATAGCCTTGAACTATGCAAGACACATCACCTGTGGGACGCACATTATGTCTAGGTCAGTGGTCCCCAAATGTGCGCCTCCAGATGTTCTTGGACTTCGACTCCCAGAAATCCTGGCTAGCAGAGGTGGTGGTGAAGGCTTCTGGGAGTTGTAGTCCAAAAACATCTGGAGGCCCATGTTTGGGGACCACTGTTGTCTCTTTTTTTAAAAAAACCCCACATTCTTTCATCGTTGACTCATGCCTCTTCTTCCTCTGTTGTCTTTCTATGACAAATGAGAGGCTGCATGCCCTCTCCATATGCATATCCTTCTTCAAGCAAGCAAAGACCTTTCTCTTCAGGCAGGCTTTTCCTGAGCAACTGGAAAACCGAGAGGGTTTTTTAAAAAAAAAAAATGGACTGTTGTGCTCTGCGGTTTTTAAACTGCGTTTTTAGTATTGATTTTATTTTCTGTTTTTCTAAAATAATACTTGTCAAATTCCTTTTCAAAACATTTGTATACCTACTGTTTTAAACTTCTAGATACATATCGCCTTTTAATTGTTGTAAGCTGTCTTGGGCCCTTTTAAAAAGAAAGGTGGGGTAAAAATATTTCAAATAAATAAATAATAATAAATGGCCTATTTCAGTGATGTGGAGAGGGGGGATTTGCTGGTTGGGTAACAGCCTATCCTCCATATTAT